ATATGGCAACCTAAGGATTACACGTTTGGAAATATTTCATTTTTCAACGCTCTTTGACCGCCCTGAACGTTTCCTTCGCAGCATCTGTTGCGATCTCCAGTTTGTGCCGGTCGCACCCCAGTTCCTATCAGTTCTCGCAACTGTATCTTTAGACATAGCAGTGCTTTTTCTACTATCGTTAAGCGTTTCATTTTCTCCCTCTTTTCCGAAACTTTCTTTAGTCAGTGATTTATGATACTAGAAAGTCTCCCTGTCAGCAAAACTAAGAAAGTTAGCGTTGGATGTAAAACATGATTAAATAACATTTTGCCCTTCACAGATTTGTAATGAGCCACCACTGCTCTTGGAAAGCACAGACCGTCAGGTGGCTCTGAGCGAGCATCTGCCACTTTCCTTGATGGTACTCAGCGAGTCTGAGGAGCCCAAACCTGGTCATTCCTTTAAGGTACCCACTGTCACCTTCACCCTGCAGGCCCGCTGCCTTTCCACCATTGTTTCCCTTCACGTTCTTACCCGTCTTGGAAGGATGGCGAATCAGGTTAAGGTTCAGACAAATCAGTAGGATATTTGCTGCAAGATTTGTTGAAAGATTGGCTCAGAAGGAGGTTTGAATTAGCACCTAAAAGTGAAGTATCATAGGTTTTATTTAACTACGTTATTTAAGTTTCTGATAATCAAAAGCAGACATTATGTATACATTTTGATAACATCATAACTACATCTACTCCGGTTATGCTGGCCTAAATGTACAAGTATTTAAAGAAGCTGGGGTATTGGGATTCTTCTGGAAGGGCTGACTGGCTGTTTATTCTTTTAATATATACTAGCTTAGCAGGATGCATTCATAATTTTTAAAAAGACACTAAAATAAGTCAGTGTAATGGTTAAATTTACCAATCTAAATTAGATGGGTTGCACATTAATACAGTTTCCTTGTGAAAAACAGAAGGAAATAACTACATATTCATTTTAGCAAATCATTTTGAAATGCCCTCTTACCAAGCAGAGGTCTTGTGTCTGGTTCCTGTGAAAATTGCCAAAGCAACAGTGTGGCTGTAATATATGTTGTCAGTGGGCTACTTCAGTGTTCTGGCTTTTAGTTTCATGCCTCCAGAGTCTCAGGCGATGGTTCATGTTAAAATGCATCTCTGCAGTGGTAAAGAGGAACTTGCTAGTCCACATTTTCATCAGCTTAGGGGTCAGAATTACTTAAAAAGAAGTGAAAAATCAAAACAAGTATTTCCAGACGGTGTTAAAATAAGTTTATCACATATCTAAAAGTGCCACCCACCTGCCCTGCTTAATTTTTCTCTTTAGCACTTACTCCCACCCAGCATACACTATACTTCTCTTCTTCATTGTCTGTCTCCCTATAGTGGAGCCTCCTAAGGGCTGGGATATTTGTGTTTTGTTCAGTGCTGCCTTCCTAACCTTAGAACCGTGTCCACACAGTCGGTGATCTGTGAGTATTTGCTGAAGGAGTGTTGAGTGAATGAATAGTACTAGTCAACTGTTGCTGATCGCGGAGTGTGAAAGGGTTTGTCGAAAGCTACAAACAGCTGACATGGATGTGCTAGGCAACCAGAACATGGATTTCTTGAAATCAGGAAATGTATAAACATCTCAACAGTCCTTGCTCAACACACAGGCTTAAGCCTTGAGAACAAAGTCATTGTAGTTGTTGCAGCTCGAAACTGAATTTTCGTATCATTGTTCATCATGACACAGTGACAAATGCGACATGCCCGACTTGCCCGAGAAAGAGGGCGCTGGCTTTTAGAGCTGGTCATAGTTGGATAATCGGGGCAGGTGAGAAGCTCTGACTTCTGGTCCGTCTTCTGGGAGATTCTACAAGGTGCCGGGAGGGGACCGAGGACCCCAGGGGACTTGGTCTCCAGGTGGACGTGCCTCAGGATGACATCCAGCCTGTCCATGCTCTCAGGCCCTGTGATTTTAAAACTTTCCTGCTGGACAGCTGGCATTTTCTGCTAGGGGATGCAGCTCTGGTTTTTATCATGGCAGTTTTTGGTAGGAGATAATTCACTTCGCAGATGGATACTTTGTAGCTAACTTTGCCAAGATGTCTGGCAGTAAAGGGAAAGCAACAGGGATGCTGCCACTGCGCCTGACTTTTATTAACACCTCGCTCAGTGAGTGCCCTTCTGCTGAACTCTTCTCTGGGTAGGCTTGAAAATGTGATCGGTGACATTTCTAAAATGTATGGACCGTAGCCGAGGGATTAGAAAAGTAGTGTAACCTGAAACACGTGTTAAGTGAACTGTGGCCTGTCGTGAATCAGAGCCGCTCAACAGATCTTAGGGATTTTCTAGAGAAATCAAGGAAGGGGCCTTAACCTAATCCTCACTTTGAAGCAAGAAGGACGGGGTAAGACTGCACCTATTTCTTACCTATAAAAGTAAGTGTTGATGAGTGTCAACACTTTCGTATTAATTCCTGCTCTCCCCAATTCTGAATGTTCAGGTATCATTAATAGTATTACTATTTAGATGTTAGAATAATTCAAGAATCTGGAAATAAATTTTTTTTTTAATGGTGGCCAAAGCCACCATTCCTTCTGCTGCCATGACGTGAGCTGAGGGTTTCATGGCGCCACAGCGTCCGTGGCTGGTAGGAAAACTCGCTTCCTTGTCAGGCTGCATGGACCAGGCCCTGTGTTTTGTTGGTTGATGAGCATTATTTTTCAAGCCATCTGGGGGTAGGGGATTTACTACAACTTCAAGCAAAGGTACCTAACTAATGGGAAGGAGCTAAATACATATATTTCCAGATGCAGCTTTTTCGTGTGGAAGATGAAGGTGAATTTGGAAAACCTTATCCTTTTCTTTCCCTTTCTTTTTTGGGTTCTTATAAATTTTCTGATATTTTTCTATTTTTTTAAAAAAGTTTTCCTACTACTTTAGTACCACTTTCTAAACATGGTCCACATTCCTTGTGATAACAGGAGTCATAGCACATTATCTGGAAGGAGCCGTGGAAGTTACCGCAAGTGATTGACTCAGCTCAGATTTTACGCTTGAAAAACGGAGGCCTAGAGGAGTTACGACACTTGACTGCACGCGGTGCCCACACAGCTGTGGGCCAGTTTTGCGGCTCAGATCTAGTGACCCTTCCTGCTGGTCCCTTTTCACAGTGAAAAGGAAGCATGCGCTGTTCTCTGTGTATGAGCTCGAATGCTTGCCCTAACTCATTATGCCCCTAAAGCAAAAACAAAAACGTGGGCATCACTTTCTTACCGAAGAGAAGACAGCTCAGTGCAGGTCCCTTCAGCGAAGTTTTCCCCTCTGAGAGTGGATGCTAAGAATCCCTGTGGTGCCCTAAGCTGGCCCAGCTGTGCCCCCAGGACCACCGAGGTGCTGGGACCCCACGTAGGTCCACGTGTGGAGACCCTGGAAGGAGAAAGTGCTTTCTTTGCCTTAAGTTATTTACAGTCTAGTGGGCTGTCTGGAAGAGGAACTCCGAGGAGGTAAATATCAACCATCCAGTTCCTGCACCCCTGTGGCAAGCTACAGATACTCTGGTTTCATTTGTTTAAGAACAATATAAATAGTTGTAGCCTAAATATTAAATCTTGTAATTTTTAAGATCCTATTCTTTAATTTGTATCAGGCTGAATATTACATTTGAGACACTAAGTAACAAGCCGTAAGGAAATCCTTCAGAGGGTATTTCTGTTATACTAAGTAACAGTTAGTTAGACTCCAGTGCCCTCAGTGGCAGAGAAATCTGGGTTCTTACCCTGGCCTTGCCACTGACCAGCTTGTTTATTTTAGGTCATTTAACCTTTTTTCAGAAACTCATTTTTTTTTTCTCTAATAGGCACTATGCATGCTTTTGAAAATTAACAGTGTGCTGAAAATTAGCCACACATCCTAGGGCCGTCCAGATATTTGAGGCTTACTGTGATGGTCATCACATGACGGATGCACCTCTCACCAGACGGCAGTAACCCGTCCTGCCCCATCCACTCGGGTTTCTCTGTAAGGTTCAGAAGCACTTTATTTGGAAGCACTTTGAAAATTGTAAAAAGCAAAACTAAAACTTATCCAGCTATACGGAATTATTAACTACCTTTCCTTTCCCGCCCTCCACCCTTCGGTTTAAGGGGAAACCCCAGCAGCAAGTGGCGGCGTGAAGGCCAGTTCTTCCTAGCGGAATGGCTTTCATCCTCAGCCACTGAGGATGTGGGCATCGCCTCTAGGAGACTCTCTGCAGCTCTGCGGCACCCTGCCCGCGTCTGCACACAGTTCTCACTGCCNCCCGCGGGCGTTCCGGGGAGAGCGCCCCCCTGCGGGCCGGGCCGGCGCCCGGGTCGCAGGCCTTGCGGGGCTCGCCGGCTGCGTGACCTTGGGCGGGTTGGCCTCCTAGCCCGTCTGCGCCGGCGACACGGAGCTCAGGTGCCTCCCGCGCCATCGGGCCGCTGTGAGGATGAAGTCGGATCGCGCGTGTGCAGGGCGCTTAGCAAAGGGGCGGCGCGAACTCGCGTGGGCCTGCGAGCCGCCTCCCTCCCGCCGCCGCCACTAGCGGGGTCAGCACCCTGCGGCCCTGAGGGGGTAAGAAAAGAAAGGACAGCGATTATAGCGACCCTCGTACATTCATCTGGGGCACTCAGGGCCCACTTTTTCGTCTGTGTGAGAATTCTTTTTAAGGCAGTTTCTTTTGGCTCATGAATTGGGAAAATACATGTCGCTCTGGGCCGCAGACATTTATTTAGAGGCCAGTCTCTGGGACTGGATGGTGCTGGGGCTCCCTGCATGGGTGGGGAGCCCAATTTCAGCACCCCACAGACCGAAAGTGCCCGGCACACACACCACGGCGCCCTGCACCCTTGTCGTGCGGGGCTGCCTCTCAGATCTCGGCCCTGAAGAATGGAGAGGGACAGGAGGTGACCGTACTGGGAACAAAACGGCCGTGGCTTTTAAGGGTTGCTTAGTGACAGGACACCGCTCCTGATTTTACCTGTTACGTGGACACTTTATAGACAACCATCTTCATTTCCA